CAAATTAAGCAACTCTAATCCATTCACTGTCAACAAAAGGGAAGGACAAGTTTGGCAATTCTTTGTCTACCTGCTCCCACTCTGAAGACTTTTATTGGGTGTTTGTTATTATGCCCAGAACAGAACCCAAACTCCTGTGTAACCATATCATGAACAACGAGGCATGCTTTGCAAAGCAGAGGCCAAGGGGACGGAGGAAGCATCAGAGAGCCTGGTATTCAGGAACAGAATACAGTGCAGGAAGCAAGCCTAATTCAGGTCCCCTGGGTGGATGGGCTAGGTGACAGTCTGGGGATATATTTTTTTGATCTGTGTAGGGTGGGCGACAGACAACCAGTAGAGGAAGAAGGACCCAGAACTTGGCAGTAAGCATCTACCATCTATACTATTACCATATTTATCCAACTTCAAATTTAAGATGACCCCCACCCCATAATTAGATTCTATATATGGAAATTTTTAAATGTCTTTATAGTTTTCTATGAATAAAACCTAATTATAGGAGAGTTCTTACATTCGTGTCACCCCTCCCCTCACTGCAATGGGAAAAGTGACAGCAAGGAGGCGAGCAGTGGCAGGGGGCAGGCAGCTTGACCCCTGCCCCTTACTGCTTGCCCCCCACCACTTTCACCTACTGCTGCCTGCCCCCAGTGCTTGTGTGCGCTGGCTGATTATTCTCAGTCAGGGGTCTGTCTGTCTCAGGGCACAAGCTCCAGCTCCCACCTGACCACAGAGTAGCCGTTGCAGCAGTGGCAGCTCCAGCCCTTACCCCAGGTGGAGGGGGGTGAGGGGGAAAGGAGGGGGGGGTAGGCAGAGGCTACATCTCTGACTTATGGTCAGAGCCAGAGCATTTGCCTATTTCTCCCCACCCCGTACTAAAATCCAAGAACAGGGGCTTTTTCCTCTTTGTTGAATGGGGATAAAAAAATGACAAACCCTATCTTGGATCCAAGTAAGTACGGTACAGGGGAAATACTGCATAACAGAGGACTTCTTGGGTTATGAGCAATGTGGTTATTGTCCTGAAGGATATTACGTGTAGGGGATTGAATTTAGTTTTTGCTGAGATTAAAAGCCATGCCACTTCTCAGCCCTTCTACTTCCACATCAGAGATGGTTGCAAAGGACTAACAAAAATTTAACCAAGCAACTAGCAATCCATGTTTGCTACGGACACAGCTTATTGTTAGAGGACAGAGTCTAGATTATAGACCTGACAAGCATGAGTACATATATCAGCAAAGACCAGTCTTTGTAACCATCACCACCAATGCGCTAGTTTAGACTTTTAGGGCACTTACGCACATGTGGGGAGCCTGCTCCGACATGCTAGAAATCCAGCATGTCAGAGTATGTAAATTGATGCACTCTGGCAGCCTCGCGTGTCATGTGCATCAGCAGCGCAGCATTCCTCTGCATTGAGAAAATGGCAGCAGTGCGCTTTGAACTAAAACCCGTTCAATGTGCTTTAGTTCAAAGCACACCTCCACCATTTGCTGAGCATGGAGGCGCACTGTGCTGCTGATACACGTGGCATGTGGGCGCTTTTAATTATAAATCCTAGTGGCTGTAGTAGGTCCAAAAGCTATCCAGTTTCCTTGCTCCCAGCATCCACAGGCTCAATGACAAGAAATGCACATTTGGAACAGACTTCTGATTTATTGCCATGTCAGAAACAGAGAAACTTGCTAGAGTTGCAAAGTAAAACATGCTGTTTCTCAAGGCAAAAAAACACTGTGTGCCAGATGTCCCTCTACACATGCACCACTAGTAAAAGCATTCCATCTGCTGATGTGTCCATCCACATTAGAAGAAATCTATTCTTTGCTTGTGATTGACAGGTCTGATTCTGTTCCTGAAACTACAAAAAGCCTGAAGACTTCATTAGAGGATAGTCAGTTAACCTTCGGCAGAAGCAGGTCTACCAAGCTATTTTTGGGAGTAAGGAAAATTAAAGAGTTGTTAAGTGACAGTTCCCAATCTAAGTTTGAAACGTAATAGTTAAGTTTATGTAGCTGTTTTCTTTTTATGGCAATGAGTCAACCAAGAAATAATCAGAATTTTACTGCATTACAAAATGGTGATGACACACGGACATATGACTTTCCTGTTTAAAAGAGGGCAATTTAAACTTAATTGAAAGCACATGTGAAAATTCAGTTTAAAATGACAGACTGGTCTGCAGCTATATCAATAGAATTTGTAAGAAAGGCTCTTCTTTTACTGATAAATATAAAAAATGAAACAATTCTTGAAACAGTGCATTGTAAGCTATAAATAGTGTTTAAAAATTTGCTCAAAATAGCTGGTTACATGCGAAAACTGTGTACTGTAAAACTCACTCTTGTTTGCCCAACCACTGACATCAAGTAGAAGAGTGGTTGTGATTCTTTTTTTTTTTAAAGCTACAACCCATAAGAACATAAAAGCCCTAAGGATGTCCATTGCATTAGTTGCTATTGAAATGAGAAAACAGCTGAGACAAGTATTCAAGGCTCAGCAACTATCAATACAATGTAGGAAGTATGCTGTACATAGAATGTAGATACCCAAATACCATGAAGACAGATGTGGTATAAGAATATGAATGGAGCAGGACTTAATAAAGGGAAAGATATATATAAAGCAGAATGAGAGAGAGAAAAAAATCCATAAAATCCCCAAACAGGTCTCTACATTTTGGATGCCTTTGAATAGGGGAGAATCACATGTTGTTGATCACTCAAAATAAAAAGCTGCTAAACCTTTCGAACAAGATTAACAAAACTCCAGTTCTTACAGAAAATGACACCATCTGATTTGGAGAAAAGCAAATTTCAGACAGTGGTGGGAAAAATAAATTATTTTTTGACAAATTTCATGGTCATGTTTCTTGTAAATTCTGGTGGGAGATTAAAATATTAACCTCTCAAGAAAGCAATAAAGGTTGTGAAGGAATAATTAATTTTTAAAAGATGGCTTTTAGCTAGCTTTTTGCTGTCTTGATACTAGCATGGTTGTGTACCAGGCAAACTTCAGGTTAATCTAAATGATAGTCCTGACTATAACTTCAGTAATCACCAACTGCCATAATGGTCAGAGAAGAAAGTAACCCTCTCTGAGCTGCGGTTAACTCCCCTTAACTTTGTCAACACCCTATATGTTGCTAGTAAGGATGAACAATAACACAGGAGCTGCCATAGCAAATTTATTCTGGAGTGAACCACTCAATGTCTGGATATGACAGCTTGAAAGCCAGTTTGCACTAACGGAGCTATGTAAGGGGACAGAAAGCCTGTCTCTATTGGCTCAACCTCCCTCTCTGGCTTTTTCTTCATTTCTGGACACTGGGTTAGAGCAGTGGTTCTCAACCTATTTGCCACAGTGGGCCACACTTGCAGCTCTCAATGTGTTATGTGGGCCGCACCCACACAACTCACTTCCTGAGTATCCATTTAAAAATGTTTTGTATCTGTTATCTGACAGTAATGCAGTACAAATCAATATTCTGTAATACCTCTCATTTCTACACTGTCAAATGTCTTTGTGGCCCATAGGTTGAGAACCACTGGATTACAGAGTCAAGAAAAATATACTTCTAGAAAGCAGACATGTCATGCCCCTCCCCTTTTTGTAGGCTGGGTAAAGACAATTGTATATCAAAAGGATATTCCTCAGGCTATTTGTTATACTTCATGTGAGGGTCATGACAACATAAAAAGATTACTTTAAAATAATTTAAAATCCAAACCAGATAAATCTACTAGTTACTAATATAAAGAGTCAAACGCTAAAAAATTAATTCCTTCTTCATCCCCTTTATATTGTGAAAATAAGTCAATTTTCCTAATTTCTCATAGGTAGTAGCTTGTAGATATGGCAAAAGTTAAAAATAATTACTCAGATTATTAATATAATAAACCAGTTCAGTGTTATCAGTAACAGGTACATTCAGCAAATATGCTCACTATAGCAAACTGATAGCTTAAGGATAACATTTTCTGACAGTAGATAAAAAACAAACATTCTCCTTTTTAGTAAGGTGATGTCCACGGAAGCTTGCTGTTACCAGTGGACAGAAGCAGTTGGTTGACTGCAGGTAGGGGTTGCATTGACAGCATCAGAAAGATCTGCTAATACAGCTCAGATCTTCATAAAGGCATATATTGATCTAGAAATAAGCCCCATATTTAAATAAAACTGTCACTTGAATATGGTCTCATGGAGACTGTATAAAAAAACCTCTTACATCTCAACAAATGTATTGTGAAAAATACACACATTTGATTTCAAAAGGAAAAAACATACCAATATTGAAGACATGGGGCCAATTCTATACCACCCATCAGGTGCATGAGTGGATTTAGGTGCCTAAGTGTGTTTATGTTACATTCTCCTTAAGTCTCCAAAAAACAGTTAATGCAAAAGGTGAGTTGGTCTTCCTCCTCATTGCTATTTTGTGACTCAGGCTTAAGAGTATGACTGTGGGTGTGTCTACATGTTCATTAATGCGCCTTAGATACTGCGCATTTAATTTAGTACTTCCTTAATAAAGTACTAACTAAATATGCAGTACCCTAGGATTAATGTGCAGTAGCCCTGGCACATGGTTTAGCGATGCTTACTGCGCATTAGTTTAATAACCGTACGCAGTACACTATTAGTACAGTTTTTGCCATAACACAATACTGTGCAGTGTTATTAGGCTAATGCCCAGTAAGAATCTCATTTAGATGTGCCCACTGTGTTACAAATGATAGCTACATTAACAGATTTTTCAGGGTGGAACAAAATTGTACCGCAGCATCTAAGTCCACTAAGATATCTAATAGGTAGAAGAGAATCTGGTCCCTGAGCTATGCTTTACAAAAACTCGTTATATGTAATCTATACATAAGCAAAGGGTTTTAAATTGTTTTGTTTGCATATTTTGATTACTTTGTTTTTACAGTTTCCCAACAAATATACGTGAGTGACTAGATTTCTTTGTATTTTACTACAGAAAAACAGTATTTGGAAAGTTTAACAATCACAATAGATGTTTATTTACATTTCTGTTATCCAAAAGAAAATCTTATGATCTCCTCCAACTGCGCATAATGGAAGAGTTCTGTGCCAGGTCAGACCAGATCCTACAGCTGCTGAGCCAACAAGAATGGGCTAAAAAAGAGAAAAGCATATCATACACATTTTTTATTCCAGACTGTATATGTGACTGTAAGTTCAACAGATGTACAAAAATCTGAAATTCTAATTAAACCACCCAAACCAAATACCATATTTATTCGAATATAAGATGAGGTCCCCCCCAATCAACATTGGGAAAAAATGGTCCTCATTTTACATTCACACACAAGAAAACCTTATTAAATACAATATCTATCATTAAACTGCTGCCAAAAGCAGTATGTTCTCAGTGATGGAAACTGAGTCTAAAGTTGATTAAATGCAGCCAACACTGCATGTTTATAAAACACATGACCCACATAAGGCAGACATACTGACAGGAAAATTTTTTTTTGGTGTGGCCCTTAAAAAATGGGTGCATGTCCCCTCCAGAGGGAACTGGCACTGGGCCTGAAGATACTGCAATACTAGGCTGGCACTAGGAAGGCCAGAGCCAGCCCTGATACCCTGCCTACAGTACCAAAAATGCTTGCATTTGTTCTTAGCCACAAAGGCCGAGATGCTGATAGAGGAGCCTATCACAAGGGTAGGTTAGTGTAGCCCACCTGAATAAGACATGCGGTAGTGCCCATTGCACTTGGTCTCTTTCAGAGCTGATTCTTTTTCAAGTCATGGCAAGCCACTACACATTGAATACCTTTCAACTTCCTCTTTATGCGCACAGCTGAGCTGAGCCTTTCTTCCCATTTCCAATGAGTCTTTTTTAACCAGCCTTAAATGTCTGATAAATACCATCAAATGGAGCCCCAAGCAGCTTACCCAGAATCCCTTTGTCACTCCCTCTCTCAGCTTGTCATGTGTGATTAGTGTGGCTCCATCCTCTATGAAATGGAGTTGGAACAGGCTGCCTTCTGCCTCATCTGCATCTACATTTTTGGAGCATCCCAGCACCCGTGACAAGAACACCTGGTTCCAGTTATGAGCAGGGGCTAATTAGCACATGGATCCTTTGTGGGGGGTATCTGGAGTACACATACATGCTGAGCAGTGCTGAGCTGTGGGGTCACCATGGCTTAAAATGCTGCTGTCTTTGATGGGGCCCAGGCCAATGACCTACATGGTAAATCATGAACCTTTTGGCTTTGGACTGATGTTATGCACAGTTTGTACTATATACAAGTAGATATAGAAATGCTGCTTATGTTTATGGAGTACCTGTCCTAAAAGTTGCAGCGGCTTCAAAAGAGGTAAACTGCATCAATTCTGGATGAACTAAAGTCTATGCGTACCTGTAGTAATTTCTCTATATATAAGTTACTACAGGCAGTCCTCGACTTACGACCTTTTGAGTTGCAATAAATGGCACTTACGACCTTTATAAATATACACCCTGTTTTGAGGTTCCAACATGGGTTTTGAATTCACGACACTCGACACAGCTACCTCCAGCTGGTAAGTCCCTTGTGGTGGTGGGGAGGGAAGGGGTGTGGAGGACCAGATCAACACCCCCACAGTGAGGGAGGGATTGGGGCTGGGGCAAAAGCTGCCCACCTGGGGGGGGGTGCGCAGAGAGAGTGGGGAGCTCCCACCAGTGTATGCTGCCAGTCTGGCAGTGGCTTGTCTGGCTGTTCTGGCCGCTGCTCTTGCCACTGCCCCGGGAGGCATGGGGGGGGGCATGCCCCCAGATCTGTTTGGGGCAGGCAGGGCCAGAGCTGTGCCAGGCTGTGATCCAGGTGGGCAGCAAATGATGCTGAGAGTGGGGGCTATGCCCTCCTGCCGCTTGCCCAGCTGGGGCGGGGTGGAGCCGCTGCGCTGCCTCTAGACAAGTGGTGCGCACCAGCAAGAGCCGCCCTGGCCTCCCCTTGCCTCCTGGATGAGCAATGGCTTCATCCCGTGCCCCCCCCCACTCTGCCCTCCCTAAGCCTCTCTTTGTCCTGCGAGCCCCCACCCCTGCCTTGGCTGGATGAGCAGCAGCAGGGCATGTGCCCTCAGATTGGGGCGGGACAGGCAGGGCCAGGGCTGCATCGGGCAGCACTCTGAGTGGGCGGCAGAGGCTATGGGGGGGGGGGCTATTGTGAATTTTAGGGTGGCTGCAGCCCTGCCATAGCCCCTGCTCCCCTGCCCACCCTGATCTGGGGGCACATGCCAGCCCCAAGCCCCGCCGCTGCTTGTCAAGCTGGGATGGGGTGGGGAGGGCGTGGGATGAAGCTGATGCTCGTCTAGGGGGTGCGGGATGGCCAGGGTGGGTCCCACTGGTTCATGCCACTTGTCTGGAGGCAGCACAGTGGCTCTGCCCCATACTGGCTGGGTGAGCAACAGAAGGGCATAGCTTCCGCTCCCAGTGCCTTCCACCTCCTGCCTGAAGCACAGCCCCATCTGCCCCATGGAGATTCAGGGGCACATGCCCCCCCATGCCCTCCCAGACTGGCGGCAGGAGCAGTGGCCAGAGCAGCCGGAGAAGCCACTCCCGGACCGGTGGTGCGCTGCAGCGGGAGCCACCCCACCCCCTCCCTGTGCCCCCCTGCTCCAGTTTGGCAGTTTTTGCCCCAGCCCCTGTCCCAATCTCTCCCTCACTGCAGGGGCATTGATTTGTCCCTCCACACGCCTTCCCTCCCACCACAAGGGACTTACCAGTTGGAGGCAGCTGTGCTGAGCATTGTAAAGGACCCAATTCCCCTTTTTTAACATTGTTCCTATGAGAAAATTTGTTCCAAGTTATGACATTTTAACTTAAGATGCGGTTTTCAGGAACCAATTGCATCCTAAGTCTGAGGACTGCCTGTACAGGTATGTTTATTTCTAAGTCAGCACTTTCCAATTTGCTTCTCCCTTCTATGTGCTCAGGGACACGCAGGGTTTGACAGTAAGGAAGGGGGAAAGGGCTACAGGGGAAGGAAGTTGAGGGGAGACAGAGGGAAAGGGGGCAACCTAATCCCCCAGATTTATTTTCCCTGCTGTAGCAGTGGGAGGGGGACAAATTCAAAGCAAACCTCTAATAATTAGATTCTATGCCTGAAAAATTCTAACAAAAAATTTCCATGTATAGAATCTACTAATTGTGGGGTTGTTTTATATTCAAGGTCATCTCATATTCAAGTAAGTACAGCAATTTAAATTAAAAATCTCATTAGCTGCTATTCTGTTCCATCAGCTACTATACATACATTAAAGCAAAGCATTCAAATGACAAAATGGAACCATTAGAAGGTATTTACAAATGTTCTCTCAGCACCCAAGATTATTTTAATAAAACCAGTTATTCAAGATTACAGTTAAGTACGGTGCTTGGAGACAGTATGTTTGTGTGTCCAAAATAATGAAAATTTGCCTAATATATTTTTTCCGTCTGTGCTATTAAAACAATTTATTTCCAAAGAGTGCATTAGAATTACAAAATACTGTAGGATTTCTGGCAGGTGTTAGTTTTTATTTGCATTCTGTAACTGGCAGCTTAAATATGGAATGATTCAATGTGCATGTTTTAAAGAAAATATGAATTAATATTTTCTAGGATTCTGAGCAAGCCAAACATTTACATATGAAAACACACAAAAAATGAAGGGAACAACAGAGCAGATTCTCACTCCTCTTCCACATACAAAAAAAGAAATATGCAACATACTCATCTGACTGATAATCTTTGCTTAGGATTTCAAAGACACATGACCTATACCTTCCCTATCAGTTGTTACCATTATGCAACATGATATTGTTTCTCAAGCCTCAACTTTCAATCAGTTCAGCAACATGGACAAAAATTATCTGGCAGAATTTATAATATAGACCTTGTTCTTCAGTCTTTAAACCCATTCACGAGGATTCTAACAATGTTGCCCGGGGGAGAGAATTCTATTCTTATTACTCTTTGGCTAACCCCCAACCTCAAAAAAAACGCCCCCTCTCCAAACAAACTTTTCCAAGTCCTTGTACATATTTTTTATCTGCATACATTTTAGGGGTACACCAATAAAGATTTTCTTGGCCGATACTGATAACTGATTACTAACCAACCGTATCAGCCAATGTGGATCTGATAACTGACATTTAGTAATAATGTAAGGCATTTTAAATTACTGACATAAATCTTTTTTTTTTGCTGTGCTCTAGAAGCCTTCTGTGTCACATGTATTAGCATCCCAGTGCTTAAAAACAGCAGTGGGGGTGCTTGAACTGAAGCTCATAGAATCAGCTTTAGTTCAAGTGCTCCTGGCACCATTTTTAAGTGCAGGAACACTTTTAAGCAGAGCAGAGCCCGGTGGGGTGGGTGTGGGTTGCCCGCTGTGGGCTTGGGACTCTCCACCCTGCTGCCTTTGCCCTGGGAGCCCTATGCCTACGGCGCGCCCCCTGCCCACCTGCCAGCGGGGTACACAACTCGCCGTCCCCACTGCGGCCGGGTACACACAGTTGGCGCAGGGCTCCTGAGGGAAAGGCAGCAGAGTGGAGAGCCTAGAACCCACAGCAAGCAGCCTGCATCCAACCCATTCAAAAATGTAGGGGGCCCATGCCCCTTCATGCCTCCTCTGGGGGGTGCATGCAGCAGCAGGGAGCCACTGCCTCCTCTCCCTGCCCTGTATAAACTGCCCACGGCTCCATCCCGCTCCCTGCCATGGCCCCAGGTTGCATGCACCACCCTGGCTGGGCACTGCCACCAGCCTCTGCCACTGCCTCACTTGCTCCCTTACTATGGGGGCCTTGATCTTCCCCTACCCCCGTGCCCCCTTCCTCCACAGACTTACCTGAAGGGAGTTGCTCTCCATGCTGCCCAGCTGTATTCCTGGCCATGTGCATGCATGCAGCCACACACATGCATGTGACCCCCTGCATCCTGCTCCCAGCAGCCCCGAGCAGGACCCTTTGCAGGCTAGAATGTTGCCTGCCTGCAAGGGGAAACCTGTTTCCCCAAGGGAACCCAGGCATCCAGGGGCCCTGGCCTGGCAGGGGAGAAGGAACCCAGGTGGCCAGGGCCCTGGCCAGAAGGTATAGTTATAGGTAAACATTACTGGCTACAACAGCCAAGAAAAAGCTGATAGCCAATAATGTAATTTCCATTTTATTGGTGCCAATCTGAGAGGCAACCGATATATCAGCACACCTCTAATAAATTTTGATCAAGAATTTTAAATACGCTTACTTTAAACCTAAAGCAGAGACTTAGTCATATCATAACTAAACTAGTTATACAGAAAATTGTGGTCAACTCATGTTTGGGTGACTTTTGGTCTGGAAAAACAAGTAGTAATCACCTGTAGGCAATCCTAGTTACCTTTTCAAGGGAATTATTAGATATTTACTTATGTGATTTAAAGAGAATAGATGAATCCCACCCACAATACAGCATTATATAATTTTACCTGAGGATGTCCTGAATGATGAACTAGAAGTTGACTAGACATCTTTCCTGGATAGCCAGTAGTCGCAAACAAATTTTCATTCACTCGGGACCACCTAAAAGAAAACAAAAGTACTTTTAAATTCAAGTGTTAAACTATCAGTATTATATATGAACCTAATTTTTTGTAGTTAAGCATTGTTTGAACTTCCAGAAATAACACTGTAAAATTGAAATACATGAACAAAAAAACTTTATTTTTTAGAAAAGACTCACTATTCATGACTGCCTTTTACAATCTATGTATCTTAAAAAAAACACCTGCTAAGTGCCAATCACACTCAAACTCCCACTCAGAGTGGAATCCTGTAGGACATAGCTCTTTAAAAATTGTTAATGGAAGGACATGAAAACTGGAAAGTTCTGTATTTTCAATATTTTCCATCTAAGCTCGCTTAGTAATGCAGAAGTGTGGTGTACTAGACAGTATTTGAACCAAGAGTCAAGAGACTTCTGTTCTATTCCTGGCACTGTCACTAGCCTACTGGATGTCTTGAGCTAGTCACTTCAAATTTTTGCCTCATAAGCTTTATATGTAAAATGAGGATAATTACAGTGACCTCCTTTGACAGCTGCTGAGGATATGTTATATAATATATATAATGTTATATAAAACCTACCTACATTGTGGTTTTGCGGATTTTGCGGAAACCGTAGAAGACACGGTGTTGTGCACAGTCACTGGGAAACCTGGCATTGGCCACGATTCCCCATGAAATCAACCAAAAAATAGTGGTAGTGAAGTAGACAGTGAAGGCACTTTCTACCAATCAGTGGCAAGGGGCAGGACTGCTCCGAAATGCCCATGAAATTGGCTCTGTGTGCTGTGAACAGGCCATGAAAAACCCATTGTCTCACTATGACTCAGGTAGGTCCCTATATGTAACTGCAGAATATTAACAGTAGGAATATAAAACAAAAAAATACCTGAATAATTTGGCTCGATCTGCGTGGACAGGTCTTTTATCTTGTGGATACCTGTAAAATACACCATTTAGTATAAGAGCCATTCTGCAAGCTGTAGCAAATGATACTTACACTGAACTTCACATCACTAGGGCAAACAATAGAAATTATTTACAGGAGTGGCAAGTTCAAATGGAATGGGATGTGGGGAATCTACAAAAAAAGATCAATTTTATTTTGCAGGTAGGCAGTCTCACATTGGGGTGCTGACAGGCTGAGGAGTCCACCTGTGAGAGAGGAAGAGATAAAAAGGGGGGAAAGTTGCATAGAATCTGAAGTGAAATTTTAATTTTTTTAAATTTCCTTTGGACCTTAGCCTTACAGAATTTCTCCTCTGGATGTTGGTTGCATGTTGTTTTAGAATTTAAGAGATTCCCCTACCTTTCTGTTTAAGACATACTATATTTAATAACACAGAAGACTGATGGGAAAGAAAAACATGGGATGCCAAAAGCAGCAAGGAATATAAAAGGTATATTTGTGTCCCCATTCAAGTAAGAGTGGAAAAAAAAAATTAGATGTCTGCCAGTGAAACAGCTTGTGATTAAATTGGATCTCCAGCACAGAAAGGTTGAGGTCTAACCCCACTTATGAAGGTGAAATTTTAAGAAGGCTACATAGCACAATGGTCTGAGACACTCCTGAAATGGGAACAGGATAATCCCATCCTGGGCTAAAGTCAACATTTAAAGAGTGACCCCAAAATCTGCAGTTGTTACTAGGGCTGTGCGAAATTTTGCCGGCTGTTTCATTTTGACTTGTTTTGACCTTGAAACAGCAAAATTGAAACAAAATGAAGGGCTTTGAAACAGCCTGAAATGAAATGAGGCCAGTCGAAACTTTTTGAAAGTTTTGGAACGTTTCAAATTTCAAAGCAGCAGCCAGGTGGTGGGAGGCAGGGGAGAGCCAGGGCTGTGCTCCCAGCAGCTCTACAACCCCCTGTGGCTCAGCCAGGCAGGGAGTACAGTCCTGGCTCTCCCTACCTCCTGCTGCTGGGCTGCACTCTGTGGGGCTGGAGGAGCTGATGGGAGCGCAGCACCAGCGCTGCCCACCTCCCAATACTGGGCTGTGCTCCCACAGAAACCAGCCTGGTAGCAGGAGGCAGGCAGAGCTGGCACTCCACTGCTTCCCGCCACCGGGCTGAGTTCCACGGGGCTGGAGCCGCTGGGAGCTGAGCCTGGTGAAGGGAGATGGCGTGCACTGCCGGTGCTGTGCACCAGCCCCCTCCACTGGGCTCAGCTCCTAGCGGCTTACTGCCTGGTGGAGGGAGACAATGCACAGCACTGGGGCTGCGCTCCACCTCCCTCCACCAGGATCAGCTTCCAGCAGCAGTGGCAGCCTCCTGCCTGCACCCCTGGGAGGGCTCTGCCTGACTCCTCCTGGGTGTGGGCGAAACTCAAAACAGCGAAACTGTTTCCACGAAATGAAACGGAACAGTGCTTTCAAAACAAAACTGAATTAGAAACAAAACACTGTTCCGTCAAAACATCAAAACACAAGTTGAAGTGAAATGGTGCTGTTTCGCACAGCCCTAGTTGTTACCTATGTCAGGAGACATAGCTTGGCAGTGAAAAAAATGGACTGACTTGCTGTTGCTTTCACTAGGGAAAGATATATAAAGAATATTGGAGATACCTGCATTATTTATGAATGCTTGGCTAACTTCATTTAAATCACAAGTGAGTGGGATGACTACATGCAATGCTAATTGGTTAACAAAAACATAGTAAAAATAGCACTTCTAATAATGTAAATAGAAAGAATGTGGTGAGGATGTCTTGCTCAGTAATTTGATGATACCTGGACCTGATATCCCAGATTAGCCAATCATTCCCAGCTACCGCTCCAATTCTAAAGGTGTTTTTTAAACACCAGTCTGCTGACATCAGCGGCATTTGTCCGGACTCAAGAGACAGAATGGCTTGCTGTGTAGTGAGATCGTAGAATCGTATCGTTCCATTCTTCTCTGCTACCATCAACTGTAAGAGAAGTAATAGATGCATTTTAATACAACTTTGTAAACTGCATTCTTTGCAAAAGCCAAATTTTAAATCTTAAGTTACTACATAGCAAATCTTATCCTCCTGCAGCCAAGCATTAATAGACATGGCAAAGGCTTATTAGAGTTGAAAGGTATTCTTGATGTAGAACATGAAACAAAACAAAAATGAAACCAAACTTCCAGTATTTAAATTAGTGGGAATATTTTTTGTAGAGAAAAGTACATGAACTGACACCTATCAATTCTCATGTTACATATGTTGAATTGTAGACCTTCTCATATATTTTTAGAAGTGGTTTGGCCATGCAGAAATAGAAATCTAATAATTTGTACTGTGAGCTGTTTTTATAATGACCAGGGAATACCAGTGTTGACTGCATGTGGGACCAGAGGCTGAGCTTATTTTAACAGAACTCAGAAACTCTTCTTTTGGACTCTGATCTAGCAAAAAAATGGATGAATTACCTGTGCCAAGTAATGTAATAGTCTATTGGCCTATTTATTTTCAAAATACAACAATTATTTTACCTAACCAAGTTCTACTCAATGTCACTTGCTCAAGAATCTGTTTGCTCAATTGTGTGGGATGAGTTTTTGGATTAAGCCAGGCCTGGGCAACCTGTAGCACACATGCCACAAGTGGCATGGGCAGCCTCTGTGTGTGGCACTTTGGGGAGAGGGCAGGCAGCACAACAGAGGGCAGAAAGCCAAGCATCAGATTAGAAGGCGAGCATGGGGCATGGAGCAGAAAGGACAGCAGCAGATTGGGCACGGGAAGTGGATCACAGTAGCACTCAACGAGGTTGTGGGGGCTAATATGTGGTACCCCTGCAGAACAGACTGGCCCCAGCTAGATTAAACTATCCCAAGATGCTTTGAGGGGAACCATTAAGATGTATATAATAATTAAGTAGACACTTAAAAAAAATTTAACGTCCAAGTATGTTTGAGAAACGAAAAATGCTAATTACCCCACTTTGACATAATAAAGTATGATTTTACGAACAAGAAATGTCACAAGGGAGATAATCCCATTGGATTAGAACAACATTTTGAGAAAATACTGTTAAGGAGGTTTTTGACAGAGGGACTTAAAAGTCCCAATATATCTGTTTGGAGGAAGGTGTGTCCTCTTTTAGACAAACCCTCCAACAGAAATACTGCTTTCTAATAAGGGTCAGAGGTAAGGGCAAGTAAAACCCTGTAGATCCACTTTGTATTTTGGTACTTTGTAACTATGTTTAGAGTGAATCTAGTCTGTAATACTTACCTACAGGAATGTATTTTTTAATCTTACTTTATTTCTTTTATATATTTTTATACACTGTATAAAGAGAGAACAGAGTGCAAGTATTCACAATAGTTTTATGGTAACTTGAACGGATGTTTGAAACTGATACTTCACGCAGCAACTGATGGGTGCATCAGAGAGAAAATGGAAACACTGATCTCTGAGGCAGCAAAGCCAGAGTCAATAATGAAGTTGAATACAGGCCCTAAAGTCTCCAGCCCTAAAAAGTGTCAGGATGTGAGTATGACTACTAATTAACATTTACAAACTGCTGTAGAAGTATCAGTTGTTTAATCATCAAAACCCCCTTGTGCGCTGAGATGAATACACTGGGATTTCAAATCTATTTAGATTTTTTACTGTACCTTCTATATACTCTAAGCAAATTTCACCCATGAATCTCCCCTCCTCCTCAAAATAAATGAATTTCTTATGGAAATGCCCATGATAAACCAAACATTGACACCCACTATCAGCTTTGTTTAAAATAGAGATGAAAAAATTTAGAATTAAAGCGCTGAGGGTGGTGCACTCTTAAACTGTGTTACTGTGTGACCTCATGGATTGAAACCCTCCTCATGCCCCTTCTTACTTTCTTCTGACAGTCTGCTGCCTCATCTGCTGTGACTCATCTAAGACTTAGAAGGGCTGACGGTGGGGAAGTGACCACATCTCTCTGTTTTGTTCTAGAGTAGCCATCATACCTGTGGGCACTGTAACATTGACAGACAATAACAACAGCCTAAGTTCAGAAGGGCTTCACTGGGACAGAAATGAAACTGTCTGGAAAAATTCTGACAGGGTGAATGACACACTGGAAAGAAATTTGAAAGGCTTATTTAAATTCTAAGGGCTTTTTATTATACTATATTTGCTCATTATTCATTAGAACCTGAAATTCACTCTCAGCTGAAACTACTCCTATCAGACTTTCCATGCTATAAACCATCCTCCACCTCTCCTATGGCTCAGAGTAGACTACATCAGGATGGAAAGGAATGTAGCAGTATGCCCATAAGTTACTGGGGCCTTTTTAAAGGAAGAATTTTTAAAATGAACCTTATTACTTACGGAGGTGAAAACTATGGTTTTAAATATGCCAGTTTTTGCTTCCCACTGCTGACTGATTGGTGGAGGGGCCCCAGCGGCCTTGCCACTTGCTGCTGACCAGATGGAAGCAAAAACTGTGGTGTATGTAAAATTGTGGTTTTTGCCTCCTGGCCATTAGGATCAAGCAGCAGGGCCAACGGGGATCCTTTGCCAATCAGTGGCAGGGGACACACAGGGAAAACTGCAAGATTAAAGGACCCACCATGCAGCACACTTCCGGCATGCAGTCCAGTGGTCCCTAACTATAAGTTCATAAACTGAATGTCAGCTCAATGATCCATAAGACAATATGTCACGCGGATAGTAAGGCAAGGTGGCACCTTAGGCCCCTGGGACATGTTAAAATAATAGCATAATTGGGAGCCAAGGACTCTCATCCTCCACCCCAAACCTCATACATTCTGCCATTCTAGATGTGCATGGCAGGACGTGTGATATTTGCAATAGGCCATAAAATTTCTCAGATCCCAACTGCATGACTGGGGCTGTCCCTAGCATAACCTCGCATATGAGGCAGGGAGCAACTATCCCAGACTCCAGGGCTACCACATGTTTGATACCAATGTTGAGCTGAGTTTTCAGCTTGGGATTGGGCTGGGGACAGCTCTGGATGCTATACTGGGATTAGAAGTTGCCCCTGATTGTTGTGATCAGGTGACTGTTGGCACCACCACTTCAATTATATATGTGGAACATCTTTGTGGCTGGTTTTCAATTTTATGGAACTATGAATTGGCTGAATGCATGGCATGCTGAAATTTTTGGCATTAATTGCATTATAAATACAATGTCTGCCAGGGCCCTTAGAGACTAACTGGTTCAGTGAGATATGAGCTTTTGTCACTACTTTGTCTGATGCTATGAACACACTACTTTGTCTGATGCTATGAACAGACTTGCAGAAAGAATGGGTTTTAAATGGAAGGAAAAAGGGAATGGACAGTGAGGGGAGAGGGGGGAAGTGGGCTGATTTCATTAGATCAGGAACAGAGTGGCCAGTTGCCTCTTTTGATCCCTAATGCCTCTGCAGTGAGGGTAAGTACAGACCTAGCAAGGAAGAAGGCTCTGCAGCAAGAGTGCTGTAAAGGAGATGGGTGGCATGGTACATCTCCATGCTGCATATCCCCCTTGCCAGACTGGACCTCTTCGTGGACTGGATCTACTCAACAAGGCATAGGTTGCCAACCCCTGGATTAGATCAACTTAGTTGAATAAGACTGTTGAAATTGAGAGGGACAATAGAATTAAGCAGTAGGATGTGTGACATCCAAACAGAAAAAAAGGTAAATCAGGAAGTTGTATAAGGAGATGGGTGGAAATAACTCATATTAACCAACTTCAAAGTTATTTGCTCTTTTAGTAATAGGTTGCCAAGGAACTAGGAGAAGACAACAAACCAAGCCATTTACTGTTTGGAACAGGGGGGTGGGGGGGAAACCTGTATCTCGATTCAAAGTGATTAAGATGCATTTAACCTGTTAAAATTTAGATATCAACAGAATTTAGAATCTCAGTAAGCAGAGGCAGACCTGGAATACAAAGGGACCTACTGAGAGAACAAATACAAAATGACATGGTGGCGGAATATAATGTTCCTTGTTTTTGGAAAAATTATACCCAGCACTAAATCTTGGTTATCATATTTAGCCTTTGCAAAGCTAGTAAATTTACAGAATCTGTTGCTAATGAAAAGTAAAAATAAATTTATTTTTTGGTGCCTTAAACTCCAATCTTATTAAGACTTCAATATTTTATAGTTTTTGAACAGTACAAATCTTCATATAGGTTTAAGAAAGTAAACGGCAAAGCACAACCTTAAAAGCCTCCTCAGGATGCCAGCACACACTCACTCCAGGGGAACGAAGAACAAAATAAGCCTTTTGATTTCCTTCCAGATCCCAAACCCTATTAAAAAAAGTACAATATTAAAGTATTGATTGGTGCTTCACTGTAAAAATATTAATTTCTACCTCTGACCTAATGATACCACAGAGAAGAAGGTAAATTTGATCTGGTACCTATACTCTACCTTTTGAGCAGAAAACATGTTAACAGAAGTTTTAACATTGAGATACATTAAACAACTGCAAACACTTAAATCAACGGAACATAAGGTGCTAAGTACTTCTTAGCACTTAGATCAGGCACATGTGCAGAAGTAGATTTTTAGGACTTAAAAAGATGTATATTAATTTTTATTTGCGTTTAAGCATTTTTCCATTACAATTAAAATTTTGTTTCCCTCCCTAGTTATCTCTACTAATACTTCAACATGCTAAGACTGATCAAGCATATGTAAAAGCCAATAGTACTAAATCATGGACCATGTAAACAGAGATGTCAGTATACACAGTGTACAGCAGCTGTCTCTGTAGCTTCAGTTAAATGAGAAATTTCCATAGCATGAACTTAATACCATAACAATTATTTAATTATACTATTAATGATACTACTGTTAGAAGTGATAACTGTATATATATTCACATGCTGTTTTGAAAGACAATACCCAGCTTGAATTCCACCAAAATATAGTCAACAAGCCATGCCATAAATGACTTTATAATACTACATGACATTTACTCTCACATTATTCATAACTCTGCCAACTTTGCAGACTGTGTACTACATCACAAATAATAATAAGAAAAATCACAGATAGGAAGAACAGTATGGATTTGATCCATATAACCAACCCGTGCTACCAGAAAGTATATGACCAAGTCATCCACTTAACTATTTGGCTTGCTAACATTTCTAAGTGAATTGCCTTTGGAGTGAAGGGGTTGACTACTGGGGTGGAATATAAAGAAACTAAAAATGAAACAGGGTTTCTAGAAAAGGAATGAACAGAAGAATCTAGTAAGAACATAAGAAGTGGTCTATCTAGCCCAGTATTCTGTTTCTGATAGGGGCAGGGATGGATATTTTAGAGGGAGAGCACTGAACTGGATATATCTAGAGTTACCTGTCACCTATTCATTACCCTCTCTGGCATTCATCATTATTGGTTTAGAGATGTGAGAGGAAACATCTCCAACTGCACAAGCTATATAACTCACTTGGGACAAAACTAAAATTGTAACGAATAAGCCATGAACCTGGTCTTACTCCTTTTGTTGTGTTTGGAAAACACCTACCATTTCTTGGGCATGTCTACATTAGACACTTTATTGCACAGCGTACTATTTTGCTGCACAGTAGAGTGTCACCATCTACATGTGCACAGCAATTAGGGCACAGTAGACTAATTTATGGCCTGCTTCAAATACAAGTGGCATCCAGCAGTGCAGTAAATTACTGTGCTTAAAGACATGTGTAGACGGTGACATCAGGATTAGTTTATTCTGATTCAGACTGAGCCAGAGTAGATTCAGTCACACTAATTGCATGTGTAGATGTGCTCCTTGTGTAGGTAAGCAAACACTGGTGGTATAACTAAAAGTGGGTAGCTGGGTCATGTCATGAGCCCTGAGAACTGAGTTATAGAGGGCACTGGAAACAGATGTCAGAGGGGTGAGTGGTGAGGGGGTAGGAATTAAAATGGCACTCAGGGAGGGGGGAGGAGTTTGGGCCTGCTTAAGAGCAGGAGCTGCTAAATTCAGCAAGGTCCTGTGATGTCAGGATTAAGCAGCACTGGGCCACAGCAGGAGCTGTAGGGGGTAGTAACCTCCTGGCTGTTGATGGCACCATGCTAATACTTCCCCATGGAGTCAGCATCACCCATGATCCAACTGGGTTTTGTGCCCAGGATGCAAATCTTATCAGCAGTTTGTGTCCAAAATGATATATAACTGGAAGCAGCACTGGGAGAAGAGCATATGAACAGTGAAATAAGTAACTAGAAATGGAAAGTGTAAAGCAAGGACTAATATGGGTTTTATAAGTCTCTATATACTAGGATTTACCAGTTTTTTTTCAAACCCCCTTTTCAGCACAGCAGGGTGAGAATATCTGCACTACAGTTTACAGCTGAGTTTATGTTGCTGATAGCACCAATGCAGCTGCAGTATTTGTGAAAAACAGGTCATATTTAGTTTAAATGCCCATAGTGCAAGTCCTTCAAAGGCACAGAAGGAGGAAGGAAATGTGCAAAACTCACTCTTCACCAAAAGAACACTTAGTATAGATTAAAAAAGACAAGGAACAGAAAAATTACAAAACAGCCATAAAGCCAACCACCTGGAGGTTCAAAAACCGCAATTTTTAAGAGGAAACAACCTGAGCTACAGCATATTTATTTCTGTCAGCTGTCTGGTCTAGCATTCTTACTGCCTAGGGTTAGTAATTTATTCCGAGTTTCTTTGGCTCTTTCCCAGGGTAGATGAGGTTATATATTACCTATAGTAAACATTGTGTTTGATCCAAAAGGAAAAACGACAATGGTTAACAAAAGGGTAATTGAACTACTTTACAATAGACCTGCTTAGGGCATTATCTTAGGATGGTGGTGCCCAAGCTTTCCCCGCCTCAGGCCAGATGAACAGTGCTCAGTGTCTGCAGGCCAAATTGGGTTAGTGGGCCTAATCTAGTATGCAAGACAGCAAGACAGGGCCCAATCCAGGTGTATGTGTGTGTAAGAGAGGAGGAATGGCCCAGCCCTGTGGGGGAAGGGAAGGGGTGTGGCCCAGCCCGAATCCGGCCATGTCAGGGTGGAGGGTGGAGAGGATGGAGTAACCCAGCCTCAATCCAGCTGTGCAGGATTGAGGGGAAGGTGGCACAGCCCAGCTCTGATCTGGCTCTGTGGGGCTTGGGAATTTTGCAGCAGGAGAGGGGTGGCAGTATTAACTGCCACTCCTCCCCCACCACCAAATTTCCTAACTCATGAGGAGCCTGGAGGATCAGATTCATGGCTTCATAGGCCGCATTTGGCCTGTAGGCCAGAAGTTTAACTCCCCTGTCCTAGGGCCATTACAAAGTTATTTCCCTGAACTCTCTATTTGACATGAAAAACTAAAATCTTATAAAATGAATAGGCTTTCCCAGTTAAAGATGATGAGACAGAGGAACAGTGAGTCAATTCTTAGTCAGCATGAAAGATGAAATTTGCTCAGTCATTAACACAAATCCCTGTAGCAACTGGGTTTTTCTTGGATATGTCTCAATTAAGTATTAGATTCCAACTGCAAGCTAATAATCTGTAGGTATATATGGCTAACAATCTTACCAGCAGCTACATCTATTCAGTCTTCAAAGAGGTAGCAAAGTTGTTACACACTCCCAGACCTTTTAAGTTCATATTTTGCTACGATGCTTAAAACTTTATATTAGAGAGATTTCAACATACTTTTAAGTAATACATCAATAGTCTAGACAAAAAATATATGTGAAATAAAGTAAATATATTTAATGAACAATGCTGTCTTCCCATGGAAAACCACAACAGATCAAATATTTGCTTTCCCTTTAGAAATCATAGGGTCTCCAATCCTGAGGGATGTGTATCCTTATTCTAACAATTCACAAGTGTTTAAAAAACTGAATAAGTAATTTAGAAACATACAATACTTTCTTGCACTGCCAAAATCTTTCCCTTGTACATCTTTCCAAGTCAAATCAAAACTTTTCATGTATATTCACTGTGTGGAGAGAGAACTGTGGCATAACTGAAGATGGTGAATCATTTTGGCCAAAGTACTATGCCATTGTGTTTCCTTCTCAGCAGTAAATGAGATTATAAGATGTGGAAATAGAAATGCATGCTTTCTCCTTTCCTTTGTTGTTCATTCATAAAGTGCCATTCTTTTATCTGTTTCATTGTATGTCAAAATTGCAGGATTAGGTATTTTATCTATGAGTCCCATAAGAGAAACACTTGGCTGAAAACCCCTCCAGATTGTCTTACCCATCCATTTCTTTGCAAACCAAGGGAAAAAAGCAACTTGAAATATCCACTGTCTTGTAAATTTCAAATAATGAGGTTTATTTTAGTATGATCATTCAACTAAGACAGTTCTAATACCATATAATACTGCATGCTTTATTGGAACCTTTATAACTCATTTCTTGAAATGACAGCAGATTGAAATTCATATTCCTATTTTACAAACAAAATCTCAGATAAAATCATCAAAACAAAAAATAGCAATTCAACTCAATTTATGTCAGTGTTAAGATATTCATAGCTACATTTACATAATCATATCCCACGTGCTCTGGATAGGTTAGGCAAATGACACTGCTTACATGCAGCAATTTTATTGTGCAACCAACTTTTATTAAACTTGGCAAAGCAAATATTAGAGCATCTGAAAAAACGTTCTTGAAGTGTGAAAATCACCCTTACTTCATACTTCACAAAGAACAAAAATAAACTGTCAAACTTTCCAAGACAAAAAATATCACCTTTGGGCCAAGTATAATAAAAATGTCATAACATTTCCCCCGAAAGTTACAGACAAGTGGAAAAGAAGATGATTTTCCTTAAAACCACCAGTAATGGTTTAAATGGACGATCTATTACATTGCTTTAGTTGCAGAAATGAAATACTTGCTTCATAAGCAAAACTAGTATTGACAAGAAATTTTGCATACAAAACTCCTAATCTGTACTGAGCCATCATGCTCAGAAATTCTTAACCCAACTGTAGTAAGTAAGGAGAAATAGGTAAATAAAAAACAGACAATAAAAATCACAAGCTTATCCATACCTCCAGAAAAGCTGATCAAGCACATTAGTTATAGAATAGAAGTCTGGCAGAGCATTAGTTATCTACTGTGATTCAAGGAGAATTTCCAGGTGGTCTGCAGAAAGGGGTGATCACACTGTGCTGCCTCCTCTTAATTTCTAGCTGTTAAAATGACATCTAAAATAAAGAATATATTTTCTAATATTACTTCTCCACATATACAGTTGTTGTAGTTGCCAGAGGAATATGGAATGAATGGGAAAAATATTTGGCAATATT